CGTCGATGGGAAGCGTGGAACAATGAGCTGCATATATCACATACGAACAAAGTTGATGGAACTGAAGTACAAGCGCAAAGAACCCGGAAGTCGAGGTCGAAGTCGCAAGATTTGGAAGGAAGAAAGCTTACGACACCTAACAACCAAGAACATGTTGATGTCGCTCTTCAGCCGACCGAAGTTCGTGTAACGAGTCCTACAAAAGATCTTCCATCGAATGATAATAATCTACAGTCCGATGTGGATGATACTGGCCATGAACTTGATCGAAATGAGGAAGTAGTTCATGAATCCCCGCAACTTCCGAGGCATGTGCGAAGATCCCAGCATGTGACTAGCGTCGGAGAAACTCAGTTTCTGCCTATTGAACCATGTCATTCGAGTTCTACTCAGGATCCAGAATCCTCACCATCTGGTAGTAGGGTGATTGCTACTGTCGGTGAGTCAAACATAGAGACGCCCAAGATACCATCATCCGACGATGTCCCAGAGTTTATATCTGCTCGCCCGGTGAGGAAAAGGAAAAGGAAAGGGAACGAGCGTGAATCACAACGAACGCCTTTACCTAAGGTTAAGTTAGAGGAACTTGAGTCAAGTAGCCCTATCACAGCTAGAATTCTCCATGCAAGCGAAAGTCTGGATTTAGATGACATTGGTGACAGGGTTGTCACACCAAGAAAGCGGCGTCGAGCATTCGTACCATACGTTGAAGATGTTGAGAACCGAGTTGAGAACGCGGTAATTGATGAGTTGTTACTAGATGGCAATATGAACGAGCAGAACCAAGTTCCTACACCTACCACCATTGGGCAGCCAGGAAGGACAATGATTACGCCAGCGAGTAAGAGAGGCAAAAGCTCAGTTGGCAAACCTCTACGACCACTCAGTACCAACCGCATTCTTCCAAATACAGTGGACCCTAATCTACCGACCAAACGGCAACGAAACCCAAGTGCTAGCGTTCGAGGAGTGGAGGAAATACTCGAAGATGGAGAGTCAACCAGTCCCGCAAAAACCCCAGTGGCTGCCGGGAAAGGACGTATTCACTCCGCCGACCTTCTTGATAATCTTCTTTCAAGCTCTCCGCCGACGAAAATCACCGCCTATCCAACACCGCAATCTGTAGCCCCAGAAGTACGATCGGTAATACTTCCACCGTCCAAGTTATCGACAGAGATAATGACGAATCGCCTCGATAAACACAAGACCCTAGCTACTACTCCACACTTGCAAAAGCATCGTGAAGATCTCGAAATACAGGATGATACTCCGGTGCCAGGAAGAAAAGCGATCATAAGCGACGAAGGGAATGTACTTATCAAAAGAGCTTCCAGCCGTCCTCGAAGTGTTATCAAGAAAGAGACTCCCGGACCAGAACGGAGAGCATCGGTAAGCGATGAAGGGTTTGAAATTGCCAAAAAGCACACTGGCCTTCCTCGAGCTGGTATTGTGAGGGAGATTTCTAGACCTTCACTGAGAGGTTCAAGACGAGGCTCGACAGAAACACCTCGCGAAGCAATTGGAACGCATACCGAACTGACTCCGAAAGTAAAGCCAGGAAAGTCCAAGACACCGACAACAAGTAAGGGAAGATCAAGACGAGGAGTTGGGCGAGATCTTGACTCAGATGATCCCGAACGAGAGCCTTATCGATTACGACCTGTGGCTACGTTAAAACTTGATCACTTCAAAATCAATCCAAACTTCAATCAAGGTTACGATTATGCATACACAGAAGTAGTTCGTGGTAAGGATCGTCAATGTCTTCCGGGTTGTGTTAGAGAAGAATGTTGCGGGAAGCAGTTTGGTGCTTTAGCGCAAGCCCTGTATCCCGTGAGGGAAAACCCTACAACTTCACAAAAGGCAGAGGAAGATGCACTCCTTGAAGAGTACTTAGGTGACAACAGGCATAAGATTTGGACGATGGGAAAAGAAGAAAGAAAGGATAGTTTAGCACAAGCTAGAAAATGGAAAGCATCCAACACAATGGGGAAGCATAAATCTGTTGTCCCGAGGAGAAGTACACCACCTGGATTCTGGGAGGCTGATTTTCCTACTACACAAGAAGATGAGGCATTCAAGAAGAAGCAAAAGGAAATAGAGCGAGAAAAGGTAGCCGAAAGATATGCGGAAGCTATGAGGCCGGGAGGTGCGTGGTTGTTCAAAGACGAGTAAATGATTATACAAGATCTTGTGATCCAATTGAGGAGTACTTGTGGGATGGAATGGGAGTTTTCTGGGAGCATAGATATATCCAAATAGCGTTGTCGGGTTCTCGATTCATTATGCCAAGTATCTGTAACGACTCTTTTTGGGGCCGGCTGGGAACATTGCTCAATACACAGCACTGCTATGATATGAGCCTTAGAGCTGATATAAATATAATGAAATAAATTTTGACATCACGATGGGCGCTTAACTGCACCAAATAGTTTTGACCGATGGTTAATGACTCTTTTCAGAATTGATTGTATATCATCGTTCTTTACAGCTTCATCCATGTCCTCATCTCCTTCCCTCGCCTCTGCTGCCTCCTTGATGTGGCTGAACGTTTTGAAAGTGTGGCTGAAGTGCGCTAAATTTAAATCGCGGCTGCGGAAACCACGGGCTTGAACTGCGCAATCAATCATCATAATCGCGACGACATCTTTCAACAATCACCATAACTCAACAATCGTTTGGAATCTTCTGCGACTTACACCGAGGAACAGCATCAATCACAATATTCGGCTCATGATCGCAAGTCAATCTCAAGATGGCTGATCAACCACCAGCAATGCAACATGAGGACTCCATCAGTTCGCAAGATCCTCATCTACATGGTGACAAAGGAAAGACGAAGAGTAGACGGCCAGCAAGTGAGGGACCCATTATTTAGTGCTACGCACATGAATTGTATACTGATTACAATTTGTAATTAATAGATACGGCGTTTAGACAACAAAGATTGAAGGCATGGCAGTGAGTGATGTTTGGTCTTTATTGCCCAAGAATGAAGCTGACACGATGCAAGACCAATTTTAACACCAAAAACCGTACTCCCATTATTCTTCGCCATCGGAATTATTTTCGCGCCAATTGGTGGAGGGTTGTTGTATGCTAGTAGTGTGGTCAGTAAATGAAAGAGACGATTTCTACAGGAGTTGCCTTGATAAAGTCATGACTGATGTTTTGGATTAGGTCCAAGAAATTGTACTCGATTATTCGAAATGCCATACGGATGCGCCAACCTGCACCGACTACCTCGATACAGGTTCTCTTATGCCTGATGACAATGTCGAAATGTTTTTCAAAACACCATATGTATATGAGGGAACTCCTCCGCAATGGTGCAGACAAGATATCAACCAAACATACTACAACGGCAGTGTCGCACATGCTACTGTTCCAGCTGTACAGTGTCGACTCACATTTCCGATCAAATCCGAAATGGAGCCTCCTGTTCTATTCTACTATAAGCTCACAAACTTCTACCAAAACCATCGACGATATGCTAAATCCTTCGATTCTGATCAGCTTTCCGGCAAAGCCGTTTCCGCAAGTACCATACATTCTGGCGATTGTACGCCACTCACGACTGTAAACGATAATGGTGTCGATAAGCCATATTATCCTTGTGGTCTAGCTCCAAACTCCGTGTTTAATGACACATTCTCAAGTCCATTTCTACAAAATGTCGCGAATAGCACCTCGGGTGGCGTATTATATCCTATGAAGAACAACTCAGATGTGTCATGGAGTAGTGATAGGGAGCTATATGGTCAAACAAAATACAATTGGTCGGATGTGATTGTTCCTCCAAACTGGGTTGAGCGATATCCAAACAATTACAGTGACGATTACCATCCTGATCTCGAGAACGATGAAGCATTCCAAGTTTGGATGAGATTGGCTGGTTTGCCAACATTTAGTAAACTGTTACAGAGAAATGACGACGATACTATGAAAACTGGACAGTATCAAGTCAACATCACACATCGTAAGCCTTAAAACTGCAAAGTTCTATTTTTATTTCCTAACAATCCACAGTTTTCAATGTTACCGAATATGGCGGTACTAAATCAATCGTTCTTTCAACCCGTACCGTTATGGGTGGTAAGAATCCTTTCCTAGGTATCGCCTATATCGTGGTTGGAGGTCTCTGTATCCTACTCGGTGCGCTCTTCACCGTTACTCATCTTATAAAACCAAGAAAACTGGGTGATCACACATATTTGAGTTGGAATAACGACAACCCTACAACTGCGACTACCAGTGGACGTGAAATGGGTGCGAATATGGGATAGGTGCCGGACCGAGATTGGATCAAGAAGGGGGACGTGTAAAATAGAGATGGATGATGAGATATGAGGCGGGGTCGTTGTTTTTGAACATTTTCTTCTTCGTTACCAATGGGCAATATGGCGTCTAGGTATTATGAGCTTTTGATATCTGCTGCTTTTGAGAAGCATTCTGCAACGCGAGGAAAAGTGGATGGAAGGAATCTTTGGCTGGACTGGGGAATCAATGGGTGCTATGAACATTTTGTGCTCTTACTTTTTGGATTAGAAAGAAATTTATTACTTTGAAATAGACCGCGGATAAAACTCGCACAGGCGAATGGACTTGGGGTGTTCTCGAAAACCCAAAGATGTCTTGGTAAGTGTTCACATACCAACCCTCGATCCACAATTGAAAGCCATGCCATCTTTGATACTTACACATGCTCCACCAAATATGCTCTAAATTATGATAATGAGAAGAAACAGGGCGATGGCAGAATCAGAATCTGCAAATTTCCTCATACCGATGGTTTCAATCTCAGGGTAATGCACCTTGGATGAAGAATGTGTTTAAAATTAAAAATTAATGATGATTAAAATATTCCTGTACAGCAGTCCTCCCACTGATATCTTTCAAACATGCTTACTGACGGAAATCAACAGATTTTATTTCAGTCCACCTTTTAAGATAGATCTATCTTTCTTCACTGACACAGTATACCTGTCTTCCCCTACTTCTTACATATCCAAGCTCAGTCCAGAGATATCCACGCTGCTGCATTCTGCGGCCGGCTCTGATTTCTTCAAACCCTGCAATTCAATCTTGATCCCATGACTCTGGGTTGTCCCCCTCGATATCATTAAAGTAACGTACTGATTAGTTTCCGAAAAGAATCTTTCCATGATATCATCAACAGTATCAACATTCAACTGTATACCAGACACATCCTGGCTCCAGCAGTTCTTGAGAATTTCAAGACCACCGTCTTTCTTGGTTATTCTTAATTTACCGCGCTTATTACTCGGCGACGAGAAAAATGTTAACAGGGCTAATTTTGCTCTATTTCTTTCGGATTCGGTGGTTGAATCGTATTGGATTGTGTCTTCGGAGATCGGTGGACTACGCTCGGGGATCGGGAGATCTTCGTCTAGGTGAAAGAAATGAGGAAACTTCTCCAACAATCCTTCACTCATGCCTGATTCTGAATCATTTTCATTTGAGTTTTCGGGGAGCTTTGGAGCAATCTCGGGTTCGGGTTCTTTCTCAGATATCATCGGAGTATCGTCTTTGGGTGGTAGTGAGAGAGATTTATCGATGTCCAAGGAGTCTTCTTCCATGGCAGGCTTCTTCCCGCTCGATACCAAATCATCTCCGGGATATGGGAGTCTGAAGGTAGCCCGGAGGGATTGCCTCTCCATACGTGGTCCTGGTCTCTGGATATCCTTTCCATCCTTTGGGACTCTCGTTTTCTCGATCACCCTCCCAGACATCGGATTGTGCATCCGACGAATGGTCATGACGTCAGAGTGGTCGATCTCGAGATGGTGGGAATTGCTTGTGTAGTGATTCCTTTAACGTTTGAAATACTGTTCTTGTATATGTAGTAATTTTACCAGATGACCTGATCTTGATAAAATGTATTGAGCGGTACTTTAATTAATTTTCTTGAGAATGGTTGTGACAGTACGGGGAGAAAAGCATTTTATTCACATTAGAACGGTAGAGCTATCTGGAAAACGGTAGCACCTCTTAGTACACCATTAACTACAAAAAGTATCACGACGGGCTATCTTCTACGAATAACGAATCACAGGCAGTCTCAGCTCATGAGCACTGCGTTGTAGTTGTGAAAAAGTGGGACCACTCCTTTAGTAAATACCTTAGAAGGTCTCTAGAAGGCACTAATCAGTCAAAGGCCACATATTATCCAAAAATAGCCTAAGACAGGTAGCTTAAATGGAATTACATCATTATCATAGGCATGAAGTCTTCTTCACTATGATGGTATATTACAGGGATTCAGACTGCTGTTGTGATTTTTTCTCGTGGTCGTCTAATTCAGGGGCAGCGGCAGGCAAAGGATACAGGAAGAATTGGCAGCCATGCCACCCATTACCCATTGTCGTCCTTTCATCGCTCAGGAAGTTTACGACGAAATATGTCATGCAATAAATTTAAGCATGTGGAAAAATAGAGTTTGAATTGTGAAGATCACTTGTAGAGCGTGGTGCGTAATTTGTGACAACTTATGCTTTCATAGAGGAAGATCTCCAGATTCACGGATCGCTTAAGGTAGCGAATAAGATATATTCGACGTGTGAGATTGATATAGTATGGCGCTCATAGGCGTAGATGGGATTTAGTGTTGTAAGAAAACGGTACCAAGAATTTGAGCATTATTTCACATGTACTATTATAAAATCCTGATCAAAAAAAGTGAATATCTATCGAAAGGCTCGAGATCAATTGAGGATGGAAAGGTGATAATTATGGTAGGGTTGCACCCCAACAATCAAAATTCTTTGTGATCATAATTTGCAACAACTCCCTTCAATTTTCTCATCAACCTATTTTGCATCTCTAAACTACTCGAAATACTTATCTCGTTTTCTCCAAATTCCTGCGCACAATCTTTATCGAGCAACTACTTATCCTGGAGTCTCGATTATGAGTCTGATTCCGCTCCGATGTTGGTCAATCAAATCAAATGACAACAAGAATGATATAATGATATTAATAAATTTATACCAGCCAATTTTCATAATATCGGTCGTTTTACTATCTTATGACCCAAGTAATATACTACCAATTCTTCACGAGTATGGTATGTGCTTAGAAGAATAGACGGCATGCTTTCATAACTCGTAATTCTACGGGGATTCTAAAAAATTTGCTCTGATTATTGTTTTCTCGAGGGCTTTTATATACTTCTCATTATCTATTACAATCAACTGAGTGGGGGTTTCGCTTGCAATAAAAATGAGAAGGGGAAATTTCCGAACGTGAGCCCAAGAGTGATACCTATTAGAGGCGAATTTATGGGATCTTTAGCCGTCTCCCGAGTAGCTAGGTACGCAAAGAATGCCTTTGGAGGTAAGTTGTTGAAGTGGATAGTGAAATGTTGGGTGTTTAGAGAATCTTCTTACGGAGGGTGTGATTGGTTTTCCCTGCTGTTAATATTGAGTGTAGTAGAAAGTATTAAAATGAGAACGATAATGATTCAGCATGTCAGTTGATGACAATAAAACTTTATCAAACAACAAAGCTTTTGTGAAGATAGAAGGACCATAATTTAAATATGCAATGGGAAGTGTGTAGAATCCTAAGATTCTGTTCCCTAAAATTAGATTTGAATTTTCCAAAGCTTCTCGAGGTAGTATCTTCCTGACTTGCTACCATATGTGGGACAAGTAATGATACCCGGAAGCGAGAGTCGAATTCACCAAGATACTTATACTAGGTAGGTAGTTCTAAGAGCCCTAAGCATATTATGGAATGCAGATCCTGGTATGACACCCTCAAGTTCAACCCCAATTCTTTGGATGTATTCACCAAAGAATTCTCTAATCTTTCTTTATGGAGGTATAAAAGTGTAAGATGAAAATGTTATCCAATCTCAAATCCACAATACCGAAGCCTCTCAAAAATATTATCATCTGCAGGTGTGATATCAAAAGATTCTTAGAGTGCAGCGGACATCACTTTGAGTAGAAAACTTTCGAATCCCTGGTTTAGGAAATCGGTGAACATAAACCTCGATTTCTTTTTGAAAATGCTTAGATTTATTTGACAGTGAAAGTTGATCTAATCTGAACAAGAGCAATTGAAAAAGATAGGAAGAAATGGTGACAAAGGTTCGATCATCCCGTTAACCAGATACATCCCACAACCCGGAATATAGTCAATTTACTACTAATTGAAGATATTTGACACTAACTAATTAGCTGTATTACACCCCCCTGAATGGCAACGTTGGATTGTCTACTATCACATATAGACATCAAGCATAAAATAAAATCAGCTTTTTATACCAAGCGGCGTACGCGTGTATACCCAAGCAATGACCTGTTAGTACGAACCCGCATATCCATAACCAACTCGCACGACGTCAGAGATTAGAAGGATTCACATTTCGCACTTTCTCTCGGCGTGGAATCCTAACGAAAAAGCCTCGCATTTTTCCGATCTGGATCTCCTCAATCTATATCTCTTGCAGCGGATGAAGTCTCAGGGTTTGAGCCGGTGATGGAGTGACGGACTTAACACGTAGGAGGAAGTGGATGAAACTCAATTTCCAAGAAGGAATTTGTTAGTTTGCGAAGCTAACTTCGATATAGTCTCACATCTCGTTGTCGAATGCCGAAAAAGTAATTGGACATTCACGGATTAACCGTGAACACGCGCCGTCTCAAAGCGAAGAGACAACAAGTTTTGAGATTAACGATGATTAGATCAGACGATTCAATATAATTCACGCGAGATATATTCCTGCTCATTCCGAGCATCTCTCTTTCGCTAACCCCATTCCATCTCACCTCATCTCTTCCCCTGCCGATCTTTTGACCAGAAAATCCTCACCCAAATCATCCATCACCTCACACTATAAAAACCCCATCTTCATCCCATATCTCAAAGCACTAAATTAACAACCATATCAACCAATACAATTCTAGGACCGAGCCAACCACCAACCCAGAACCTGGCAGCTCTAGCATTTTTGGAGTGATGAATCTCTTGCTCCTATCTCTTGTCTTGAGACGCATGTTCTCGACGATTGGAGGACGAGGATATTTGCACAGTGTTGAGAGTGAGAAAAAGAGAATAGGATATCGATAGTGACGGTGCTGGCGATGATACCTGAAGGCGGAGTGATCGTAATAATTGCTGCTCGCTCGCTACCTTTAACCTTTATCATTATCACTTCATCACCCCATTGCCCCCTCACCCGTTCCAGTCTACTCCCTATCTCCATATACATTCCAGGTATTCAAATTCCATATTCAATATTCAATATCCAACATCCAACATCTCTATTCAATAAAAACTGACCATGAAAATGCAGACAGACCAATTTCTTTTTCAGCTTGATCTCACCCCCCAAATTCACATCACACGAGCACCAAAAGCAATCTATCATGAAACCTCCAGAGGCAAGAGAAAATTCATAAATTCGAATAATAAATAAATCTTTAAATCCTTAGAAGAAAAAAACTATTTACTTGTATATCAAAACCATTCCCGTGCAGGAGGACGTATCTCTCCAATTCACTCGCATCTATTCCATTGGAATGGTACTCCCCCCATTCATCCGCTTTCATTCCAGTCATCCTCATAGAAGCATAAAAAACAAAAAGGTATCGCAATAACCAATCGGTTGATTCCGAACTCCATCATAACCCATAATAAATCAATAACTTGCTCATTTCTGAGACCTCAAGCCGAACGCCGATTTCCTTTCCAGTTGATCATCTTCACCCGTACCACCAAGTCTACGAATTCAAACGATCACACTTTTCTCAAATTCTCTACCTTCCATAATTAGGTTTTCTTGCCATATTAACCACTGGCGGCGGTCCATCTTCCAATGGATAAGGCGCCACAATGCCATTTCCGTTTCCAATAGGTCTCCTCTGCATAGCATCTCCAGGCCTCTCCCCATTAATTGGTGTCTTTGGTGGTACTGGAGGTGGACCTGAAACTCTCCTTGGGTTTCTTGGCGGCGGATCCGAGATTCTAATTTCTGGTCTAGGATATTCATCCAAACTCATAATTGCAATTTTATCAGATCCAGACGCCGTTCGATATTGTGACGGAGTTGGAGAATTAACTGTTAACCGATCTCCATGGTCTGCTGGATGATTCAAAGGAGATGAATGTGGTGATTGATGATCTGGAGACGAAACTGGCGAAAAAGGATCATTTTTAATAGAACCAAGAGGAGCAACTTCGAGACTATCATGATGTCCTGATTCATAACTTGGTCTCGGAGATGGTGTCCATGCTGCATTGCCGGAAACAGGTGTCAAGGGAGGGACTTCAGCTGGGAGTTCCACAGCCAATGGATTAGCTTCTGGAACATTGGGTAAGTTTTTATAACTTTCTCCTCTGTTACCCATTGATGGAATCCTCATGTGGCCATTAGCTCTCTGAATTGCCCTGTGGATTTTTGATAATTTCACAGCTGCTTCGATGTTCATTTTTTGAACATCACTTTTGCCGAGATATCTTCGAGTACCGGTGCTAATATCTGCGAGACGATTCCATTCGTTCATACCAAATTCTCCCACACCGATTTCCACATTTAGTCGATAATAATTTTCAATATTGACGCCTCGTTTGCTTAGATGTTCTTCCTTCATGTATTGATGTGTGATTTCGCATCCTTCGATTTTGGCTATCAATCGTCTTCTTGCATCTGCGAATTCGCCCAAGAAACCTTCATACCACATATGTTGATTTTGATCGCTTCCTGGGGGTCTCTTTCCTGTTCCTATGCTAACAAACACACCGACATCTC